CAGAGCTACTAAATCATTTTTTTTTTTTTTTGCAAATATATTTTTTCCTTTTCTTTTATTGATAAATAAGAACTAAAATAGAAATTAGTTTAAGGGTGAATTGTCTTTCAACATCTTTGCAGATTTGGTGGGAACTGCTTTCACGGCCGGTCATAAACGTTCGAACGTTGCAAAATATCCAGTGCCAAAATCTGAAAGAGAATTGGACAAACGAAGTTCTGTCGCTCGTTGACATCCCCACTCGCTTCATTTGATCAAATTAACGATAACAGAATTTCTTTGTTTCTTTTGGACTGACTCCAAACTCCTCATTTTCTAAACGTAAAAGCTCGAGGCATCAACAATACCGAATTTAGAATCTTCAAGCCGAAAATTCCACCCACCCCCATAAAAGAATATGCAGAAAAAATTAACTTGAGCGTTGGTAAAAATTAGGTTTTCCCATATTTCGTAATCTATATTTCAGCTTTCCGATGTGGACACTTGTAAATTTAAAAAGTTTTTATCACACATGGAAAAGAAAAGAAGAAAAAAAACTAAAAGCATAACATGATATTTTATATTTGCACTAATTAAATTGTTCGTGTTATTATCTTTATCTTTACTGCCACATTGACTACGTTTTGGCCGTTATACGCTCCGGCCTTCTCTAGGTGATATTTTTACAATTTCGAGCCAAGCCTTTATTTAGTCCACACAGGAATAGACTACTCTCATTCCACGTGCCATAACTTTGCCTATGTCAGTTTTAATTAATTCTCCTTGATAACTCAAATTCCGACAAATATCATCTGAAGAAGGTCGGAGCGTACAACGGCTGAAACTTCGGGAATGTGGCAATAAAGATGGGGACAATAGTCCGAACAATGTCAATAGTGTAAATATTTACAATACCTCACTCAGAAATATAGACAGATGCTATTTTTTGTCCCTTACAGAGCAACTGATAATGGGTTTAAGAGGTTCATATTATTATTATTATCGCCGTTTGATTTCTGTTTAGTACACGCCTTGATGCATTAGTTTTGTTACTATGTTTCACCCAATACAAGGCGCAAGAGCCAGTCACGGTAGAGAGTCACAAAAGTCGCCACGCGCACGCACTAACATACATACACGCACACACACACACTCACACAAACATACACACGCACCCACGCACACATTTAAGCCTCTCAGAATTTGTTTTATGTGTGTTATTATTATTATTATTATCTACTCTTCAAATACCAAATTCATCTAATCTCGGTTTTAATCGTCTCGACACTGTTCCAAGTGCTCCAGCTATTATAGGCATCACAATTTCACGTCACGTACTTTGTTCACTTACTTAGCGGGTTTCTAGTATTTTATTTACTTATATTTTTTTCAAATTTTCGTTTTCATTCGTCTTGACCTTAATCTAATCTTATTAAGTGGACAATATATATATATATATATATATATATATATATATATATATATATATATTAATTTCACAGTTTAATATAATAAAAAACAGATATCAACTCAACACGTGTACTGACTAAAAATATCGTTTTATAGTATGTATATATATATATATATATATATATATATATATAATATATATATATATATATATATATATAGTATTATATATATTCATAGTATATATATATATATATATATATATATATATATATATATATATATAAAAGTACCAGGATGATACGCATGGAATAAAATTCCAATAACCAAAGCACTATTCTTAAGAGAGTGCTCAATACGAAGGTAGAGTTAATAATATCTATAACATATGCATGTTATAAAAATCACTAAAAATTTAATAATATATATATATATATATATATATATATATATATATATATATATATATATATATATATATATTTTACATGTTTCGTTAAAAACGACTGACCTGAAAGTTCTAGTGTTACTTTCTTTAATGGTCGCCGTGCCATGTAATTTAATAATTGTGTATTTTGTCAGCCATCTCTTTTTTTATACAAGTTTCGTTACAAAGGAAAATAACACTACAACATTCAGGGCAGTCGTTTTTAACGAAACTTCTTTAAAGGATCGATTACAGACCAAATACAATATGAATATATTTATATATATATATATATATATATATATATATATATATATATATATGTGTGTGTCAAAGTGAGTGTTCTTTTTTCGATGCACACACATATGATATGCTTTAATTTATGAATTAGGCCCAAGGTGAGATTAACAATAACTAATAATAAATTATTAGAACATATTGTAATAAACTTTATATAATGGATAAAAGATTCGTTCTTAAGACCGATTTTATTACCGCAAATGATTTTTTCTTTTTTAATAAGTCTTCATTTTCTTACCGTAGGTCTTAGCAACCTGAGCATAGGATATTTTCCCTAACTTATAAGCCGACAATAAACCAATAAACGAAATGAATGAATTTTATAACTCGGGAATTAACCGCTGGTAAATGAAAAAAATCGGTTCATTAAATCTGCTGCTGCCAACAAATAATCTTCTCTTACTTGGAAAACTGTCAACGAAATTCAGCGGCAGAAAATTAATAAATAGAACCAAGTTAAAGTCCAATAGTCAATCTTAAAGGCTAAATAAATATTTCTAAATTTCTAAAATCTCTTGGGAATTGTACCTGACATTTTAGATCCTAAGGTCGAGCAAATCATTGAACATCCACTTGACATTAAACCTGGAAACTGATGATAGTCCAAATCTAAAAAGACAACTACAAGAGTAGTATCAACATGATACTGAGAAGAGTGCTGCAAAGAAGCTGAGACTACTTAATCTACGAGACATTTAATGGAGGAACGAAAAGTATCTGGAGTTTAATCAAGAACTGAAAAAAATGATATAATATAAAGATGGCTATTGTGGGCGTTGTTATCGGATCATGAAATTGATCATCATTATTTTAGCACTTGGAACACTTCCGAAGAGACGAACAAAATGTTTGAAAGAATCGAAAATCCGAGGAGAAATTAAAACTTATATCCGATTCTTCCTTTCCGCGGCCCCATGTGCAAAATCGAAGATTTCAGAGAAATCTTCAAACATTACTGTTTGGAGATTGGTGGCCTGTAGATTCTTCTTTACCCTAACGCCTTCAATAATACGCTGAACTGTCAGGATTTGTCCAAAGCTTGATCTATTTTTTCGAAGGCCATTTTGATTTTTTCGGAACACCTCGACTTCCGGTTGCATTCTGTTGAGAATCATTGAGTTGTAAATTTTTCCTGCAATAGATGTGAGTTTGATTCCTCAATAGTTTTTTTTTTCCCCGATCCTAGTTCTTCTTTCTTTGGGAAAGGAATTGGGCAGACTTCTGTCTATCTTTCTATGACTTCTCCATTATGTGTCTCACAATAGAATATCGTTGAAATCTTGAGTCTTTCAAACCACCGGAGGAATATTACCAAATATTATTGCTTTTCTACTTTATTTTTGTTAGAGTCATTTTTTTTTCTATTTTTTCTACTTAATTTTTTAAATTTTTCCTACTTTATTTTTTATTTTTTCGAGTGTATTTTCAAGGCCTTTTTTTTTTCGAATTTATTTTTTCGACTTTATTTTCAAGGCCTTTTTTTTTTTCGACTTTATTTTTAAAGCCGTTTTTCCTACTTCATTTTTTTTCCTACTTCATTTATTAAAGACTTTTTTTTTAAAGTCACACTGCTTTTCTTCTTTATTTTTTAAATCAGTTTCAAGTTCTGCATCTGTAAGGTTCCTAGGTCTAATGTCAAGAGGTGTTCAATAATTTTCTCGATTTTAGTATAAAAAATATCAGGTAAATTTCACAAGGGATTTTTAAAATGGTCTTGCCATTGATTCAGCCTTTCAACCTAGAAATTAAACTTTAACTTGGATTAATTAATTGATTTTCTGCCATTAATCTCGTTGAAAGCTTTCCAAGTAAGAGCAGATTATTTGTTGATGAGTCGAATTTTTTTCATTTGCCAGCATTTAATTCCCGAGACATTCAATTCATTCATTTGATATTAGAAGGACTTTTGTTAGTCTCTCGCTCAACTGCGCCCCACACATAAAAATAAAGGGGGTTAGGTAGCCAGATGTAAGGGGTGATGTGGTTGGAGAAATTGTCTGACAGCAATGACTGGGTTCTCCTGCTTGAGGGGCATGGTGCAGAGTCTTTTTGCCAGACATGGGCTCTTCCAGCAGTCACCCTGTTAACCCAAGGTAGCATTACCCCCTCCTTGATGTAGGGTTCCGTGTTCAGTCTGTGGCACTCACCAACAAATTCGGGTGTTTTTTCTCATCAGAACGATCAGAGTGAATTTTCCGAGATGCTGTACCTTCGTAATCACCCTTAGACTCATCCAACTCTTTCCGCACTGTTCTCAGATTAACACCCAAACACTCTGAAATGTTCGTATTGAAGCTTCCGGCGCGAATGCCAAGCAGTACAGCATGCCGTTTCCAAATTTCTGACGGAGAGAAATGCGCCGTGGTACTCATTCTCTCACAAACGGTGCCAACTGACCCTACTGTAATGAGCAGACGACAAAATCAAAATCAAACAAGATACATAGGACGAAATTGAAAATGTAAAATATCGACAATTTACACATCGCACTCTCTCTCTCTCTCTCTCTCTATATATATATATATATATATATATATATCTGTGCGTGTGTGTGCATTTGTGCATGTGTGTGTATGTGGGGGTGTTTGTGTGTGTATGTCAGTGTGTGTGTGGTTGTCATTGTGTGTGTTTTCAAATTTGATTGACATTCAAGTATATTTCCATATGCAGAAACACGCAAATTCTGTGTGGACACACACATATACTTTAAAAATGCCTATTGTTTATATTTGTTCGCATATCTAAGTACGTCTGTCTGTGCGTCGCTCCGCAAAACAAGTGGAGGAAATATTAATTAGTGGACAACACTTGTTAGTCAAAGTAATAAACACTTGATCATAACGCGTTTGTATAATAAACCAATTAGCGTTGCCTGTCATTTCAGCGTCATTTACTCCGCAAAGAATGAATTGTCTCTCCTGTTCCTTTTTTTTCTCTCATTCAACCCGTCTCTCTCTGTCGAACCTTCGATATCTCTTTCCATTATCTACTTACTGTAGACATCAGGCTCTCTTCCCGAATCAAAGCTCTCTCTCTCTCTCTCACTCTCTCTCTCTCTCTCTCTCTATATATATATATATATATATATATATATATATACAGTAACCCGGATATAAGAGAGTTGTCGGGACCGGAGAAGAAGTCTCTTATATCTGGGTTTCTCTTATATCCGGGTTTGGTCTATTTTATATACATTAACACAGGCTTTAATTTGGGACCAAAGAAAATCTCTCTTATATCCGGGTTTCTCTTATATCTGGGTCTCTTATATCCGGGTTACACTGTACATATATATATATATATATATATATATATATATATATATATGAAGAAAAATATATACGGAAAAAACAAACAAAAATCCTTTTATACAATTAAGCTGTTTTAATGTTGATATGTCAACGTCGGACGTTTAGGTCTAATAAACCATCTTCAGGACATATTCATGAATTATAACATTATCAATACAACATGACAATATGTCCTGAAGATGGTTTATTAGACCGAAACGTCCGACATTGACATATCAACATTAAAACAGCTTAATTGTATATAAGGATTTTTTGTTTTTTTTTCCGTATATATTTTTTCTTCATACTGTCGGTTCTATATCCATATATTTGCTTACATATATATATATATATATATATATATATATATATATATATATATATATATATATCACAGTGAATGCTCGGCAATTTCATCAGATCTATAGAAGAGATTATCATACTTGGGATGAACGTGAAGAATACCATAGACGGAACATGTAAGCAACAAGGAAGTCTTAATGAAAATTGGCACGAAAAGGGTCAGAGAAGGACAGATTAAGGTTAAGAAAGAGATAGCTGAAATTTCTTTGAAACATAATGAGGAAGGAAGGCTTGAAAAATTTGTCACTCACATGAGAAGAGTTAAACAACGATCAAACTACCTAAAAGACATGAGCAAATGGATTGTAAAAAGACAAATATTTCTGTGAGCACCAAAAGATAGGAAATTATGGAGAGCCGTGATCGCCCACGTCATGAAGGTTAGAAGACGAAACTTTTAAGAAAGTTCTATTGATTTTTATTCTTAACAGTGATTCTATAACCTTCACAAAAAACACTAAAAAAATAGCATTCCGTGATGAAAATATGCTTCAAATGTAATGAACAGTTTTATCGTCAAAATCTTTATATTATTATTAAAAGGATGGATCAAAGTATTTTTCATTATTTAATTATTTTTTTTACTCCTCTTTAGAAAAATTCGAAATTTTGATTAAAAACCTTCTTTTCATTCCGTCAGAGGTTGTACTAACTTTTGGCATAGCAAATTTTCGCCTCTTTTTTGCGGTGACGGACACATTAATTTGGAAATTATTGCAGAATTCAAATAACTGTCAGATTTTAATGACATTTCCAGGACTTATTCACAAATGTATGAAATTATTTTTGAAATTATTTTATTAGATAATCTTGGTAAAATATTTCTTTTTACATGTGTTTCGCCCACTTACTTAATTTTATGAAAACTTAAGAAATTCAACGAGATAATTTTTAGTGACTATATTAGTTAGTCACTAAAAATTCTTCGAAGCATTTAAATCACCGAATTTTTTGACAAAATCAAACTCGTTCTGATTCGAAAAATTAAAAAAAATCAATAAAACTAAGACATTATTTAATCAAAGAAAGCTTTTATGAATTATATATATTAAAGACAATAATGTCTGAAGAAAAACATTCCGACGAAAAAGGAAATTTTACTAGATTTGTTCTCATTTTTTTTTTACAATTTTAAATTAAATAATTTATAAAGTTTTTAAATCTTTTAAAATCCATTTTCCATGAGATAATTTTGAAGAAATATCGTTATTAAGTGAAACTATATTTACTAATCATATATTGCAAAGCTTATTAAATTCTGACGACCTCAATATCTTTAAAATAATTTATATTTGTTTTGTATGTGTGATTACGTGCAGAATGTCTGAAGTATGGATATACAAACCGCTAATTTTAGCATTTAAATGTTACATGTTTTAAGAATTTTCCCACTTACAGCGAAGAAAAACCACAAACTTTATCGTCTGCTCCATCATACTTAACTATGAACACGTTCGGCTGTAAAAATCAATTAACACGTCACAAAAACAAGACCCCGTAGTTAAGAAATATTTGTATACAGCATTTTATGCTATAAGTAAGTAATATTTGTCTCAAATCTGATTAATTTAAATTTGCTAATTTTCTCAAATAAATTTTCAGAAATATACATTTTATTTTTGCAAGAATTTTAAAACCGAGAATAAACATTTGTTTACAGATGTTTAAAAAAGGTCTGTTTTGATCGATTTTAATGAAAAAAATATCTATTCCTATCAATATAACTTCTCTTTGAAATACACCACAAAGTATTTTGTTAATTGGAAATAGTAAATTTGAAATCCTTTAACTTTCAATTGAAGCTAGAATGAAAGCTTCAAGAAAAGTCATTCATTTTAAAAATTCATTTTATACCGACTTAGTGTTGGTACCTACATTACAGTGTGTAAATAATTAATATATTTTTTCCCTTTCTTTCAGGGCCGCGTGCGGACGCAGCTTGTGTGCTGACGGAAAATGCCGAAGATTCATTTGAAATCCACGGAGAGTCACGAACCATTGCGAGTAAGATTCAATCAGGTAGTATTTTATCCTGATATCTTTTAAGCCTAGTTTAATACACCAAAAGGTTAAATGGAGTAGAGATAACAACGATCGTAGGAAGTCGTTAGAATGACGATGGTCTGTCTTCCAACATAGAAAATCAGCATTCGAAATATAATTATAGGAAACTGAAACAAATATAATAGGGACAAATAGGGAAAACAAATACAGAAATTATTATTATTAATAATAATAATAATAATAATAACAATAATAATAATAATAAAAGGAGTTAACTGGTTATCGCTTCTCTCTCATCTTAACTCGACCGAGGAAAGTCTTTTGTTTTGTGCAAAATCGATTTAAAAGGAATCAACGTTCGGGCTGCTGTCCTTATCTTTATTGCCATATTACTAAAATAAAAGGTTCGGTTCGAAATTTCAACGTATATTACCCGAAGAAGGCTGGAGCGTACTATGGCCGAAACGTCGGGAATATGGCAATAAAGATGAGGAGAATAGTCCGAACAATCTAAATAGTGCAAATAGTTACAGCACCTCATCTCAAAAATATAGACATATCCCGAAGAAGGCCGGCGCGTACAACAGCGGAAACGTCGTGAATATAAAAGATAAAGATGAAGACAACAGTCCCAACAATGTAAATAGTGTAAACATTTACTTGTGTTTATGTGTACATAGGTACTTTCTTAATGTTTACAATTTACTTAATTTGTCTCTATATTTATTCATATTTTTGTTTATTTTATTATTAATTTTTTTTCTCGTGACTTGGTTATCTTCTTTGTTTTGTCTAAGGAATTCGTTTTGTCTAAGGAATTGGTTTTGTCTAAGGAATTGGTTTTGTTTAAAATCTATGCTTTGACAAACTACCATACGGTTTCATGCATGAAATTACAGTAGCTTGGTAAAAAAGTTATAACATTTACGATAATATTTACGAATATTACACACAACGGACTAAGTTGAGAAATATTTACGAATATTACACACAACGGACTAAGTTGAGAACACTTTCTAAAATCTCCTGGAATTGGTCGGAATTCGGGATAGACTTTATCCCATACTTGATTATATCTCCCATACTTGATTATCTCTCTCTCTCTCTCTCTCTCTCTCTCTATATATATATATATATATATATATATATATATATATATATATATAGTGAACATTGAAGTCAACACTCAGGAGGCGACAGGCTGTTTCAAGCTAGATGACGATTGCGTCTAGTTTGAAACAGACTGTCATATAAATGTTAACTTCAATATTATATTTATATTTACATATGCTATACCTCTGGCAATAGGGCACTTTTTAACCCATAAAGATAGCACACAATAAAACTATATATATATATATATATATATATATATATATATATATATATATATATAAAATGATCAAACACTAATATTCCATGGTTATAATTTATTACATTGGAATCGTAATTACGATCAGTTCATCAATTCAAATTTGAATTTGTAGGTCTGATGAATTGGATCGTAATTTCCAATATAATAAATTATAACCATGGAATATTAGTATTTGAGCCTTTTATATTATATTCTTACTCTCTCCTGGGCATTGAGTTCTACCTGGATTCTATCCTTTTGGTAATTTATATATATATATATATATATATATATATATATATATATATATTGACCACTAATATTATCTATCTATTTATCTATATGTGTGTGTGTGTGTGTGTGTTAATGTGGATAAATCAGATAACGAGATATTAGTAACCGTATATACCTGCGTTAGGGTGCATACACAAGTAAGAGAATGAATATTTACTCAATTTAATATAAGGTGTAAACATAATAGTCCTCAATGTCGTTAGACAGAGCTAAGAAGTACATACCAATAAATATACATACACCTAGCTTCGAAATACAACTTAAACTTTCGCTGTTGTACCAACTCATCAGGCAAGAATTCGTGTCTGATGAGTTGGTAAAACCACTAAAATTTAAATGGCACTACGAACGTAGGTATATATATATATATATATATATATATATATATATATATATATATATATATATATATCATGGAGTATTTACCGGTGGCGCGACTCGGCTTACAACCTTCAGTTTTCTTCAAGTGTTATTCACAAATAATATAGTTTTAATTCTCCATTTCACCGTTTTCTATATATAACACTATAACAGGAAGATCCACAGAAGGGGAGGAGTATGGCAAGAGTAATTAATTAAAATTATTTATTGTTGAATGCACTCTCATCCGGGTACGTATAGGCAGAAAATATATTTATTTACATGTCTGCATTTAGTCATTACCTCTGACGTCTCGTTTAATAAGTTCTTGAAGATCGCGTTTTCATGAAACTCCGAGTCGTGCTACCGGTGAGGAATATATATATATATATATATATATACACACACGTACTTTAATCGTTCTTTAACAAAGGTATGACTTTCCCCATCTTAACAATTTCTCAAGCATTGATTCTCTCTGTCTTTTTGTTTATCCTTTCAAAAAACCAAATTGCAGATCGCCAAGCGAAGATAGACATCAGTTCCGTCCGCTTGTCTCCATTTCGACTCAAACATTCTCTTTTCCTTCTTCTTCTTCTTCTTCATAATCATCATCATCATTTTAAAACAACATTTTAAAGATGTTCACATATACATTGTGAGAATGATTTTAGAGCCTATTTTCAATTATTTCTGTTTTGTGCCTTTTACTTGTCTTAATTTGTTATTTTTACACCCAACCCTACCAAAAGAAAACAAAACTGTTAGTCTTTTTTTAATCTACTAGAATCCAGTGTATGTTTTTACTCTTCTATACAACAGTTATACTTCTTATCCTATTTACTTTCCTGGCGTAAAAGCGAATTATTTTATTTCGTATCTCTTCAAGACTTCTGGTCTCAAGCGAACAACTAATAACGCCCTTCTCCTCAAATAACCAAATGAAAAACAAAAACATGCATATTTTACCAAATCAGAGATCAAAAGCGTTTGCCTGCCCTTGTAGCTAATTAATGATTTTCCAACCTACAACCACTTTCCCCACAGGCGAAATGTCAGAGCCTAGAGCTACTCTTTGGCAAAATGTTCTGATGTCTACATTTGTTAGTTCAACCTGTTCAGACATTTACAGCTAAGAACCGCCATGCCACGTACATAGTGTCGATTCATCTTCATTTCCATCGTATTCCATTTGTAAAGACGAAGTTCTATTCGGATAACTTCTCCCTTCGAGCCGTTGCTTTGTGGACAAGACTCCCGAAAGAATGCTTCTCCGATTGCTATAATCATAAACGATTCAACATTACGGCTTTGTGAATGTGAGTGATGAATTATTACCCCTCTTCAAAACTCTTTCCCACAGACG